TAGAAACTAATGATGATGGTGATGATCAAAACATAAATGTGTCTTTCATTTTTGCCCAACATTTTCTACTTTAGGAGCGGTCAAGTTTTTTTATAATGGACGTATCTCAGAATATGATAGTTCATATGATAGAGAATTTTATTCTATACAAAATGGTCACAACTTCTCCGATCAGTTCGCAATGAATCACCCCTCAAAGCGGTCTTTTTCTGATATACCAGCGGTATAAATAAATGTTTAACGTCGTTCAAGTATATCATCTGCTCTACTCACTGTTCTCTGTTTGTCTCACTTCCGCGGGATACTTCTTTCGATGTCGTTCTAGTCTCTCACTTGCTCCAATGGTTGTTCCCTGCTTATCTCTCCTCGCGCGACGCGGTCGTGACTCCGCCCTTCTTCCGCCGACACGCGCATATGGCGAAGTGCGTACGCACCGCCTAACACACGAATAGCACGCGTCCGCCATCGCATGCATAAAACATTTCGCCACAGCACTCTGCACTTATTTACAACGGCTTTCTCGAACAAGCACTGTTCCAACTGAAACAAATTCGATCGAGTAAATAAGCATGCTCGCAACTAATGCAACCAGAAATAAACCAATGATAAACGCTAAGCAGCAACCGAGTGTAATTGGATTCATTTACGAAGATAATCAATTCAGTTGAGGTGAAGAATAAGTTAATTGCAAAGTTATACTCACTGAAATGAAACCAAACTGAAGAGTATTGGCCTGTTGCATTCTTGAAGTCAAAATGCGACAATTTGAGAATACAAAAGAACATGTTGTCGTGCAAATTTGAAAGTACCGTTGAATTGAAAACGGTGATCCTGAAATTGCTAATTCCTCGTGTACATTGATCAATACAGATACACTGCATTAAAATCAGTCACTCAGCTAACTGAGATGGCTTTAGAAAATCATTGATATTAGTTCTAGCGAAGAGAATCGCCCGACAACATCTAGGCTTTTCTGAAACTAGAGAATCTGGAGGAGCCGATATTGGGAAGAAACAATCACGTTACAGTGCAAACCTGAGAGTACCGTTAGTTTGAATATAATGATAATGATATTTCTACACTCTTGTACGTATTGAGCAATACAAATACAGTGTATTGGAATGAGCGGCTCAGATGCGTGAAATGACAGCGGAAAATCACTAATATTCTTTGGAGTAAGCAAAATCGCTCAACAACACATGTATTTTTCAGAAACTAGAGAATCTGGGAAATTCGACGGCGTGAAGAAATCATAAGGTTTCTGCGCAAATCTGAGGACAGCATTACTTTGAAGATGGTGACCCCGAATTTTTCTACACCATTCAATTCAACCAGACCTCTAAATTCAGAATATCGTATAATTTGTCGATCAATTCCGTTGGAGGAGATATGGCTATTTTTTAAAGCTTTCTCAACTAGCGCTGTGGCGCTCATTCATATACATCGCTTCACTATAGATCAATCTATACATTTATTCTAGCACCATAGGGGTTACCATATTCAGCCGACCGTACTCTCAAGTTTGCACAGTAACATATCAATTTCTTTACACCGTTCGATTCCTCAGAACCGCAAGATTCAGAAAAAACATATACTCTATTGAGCAATTCGGCTTACTTGAGGAGATATAGCCATTCAATTGAAGCTGTCTCAATTAACGCATTCGCGCTCATTCATATACATTGTATCAGTATAGATCAATATATGCTTTACTATAGCAGTATAGGGTTGCCATTTTCGAGGCTACCGTAATCTCAGGTTTGCCCGGTAACATAAGAATTTCTTTGCACCAATGAGTTGCTCAGAATCTTTACGTTTAGAAATATCATATATTTTGCCGAGAAATTATGATTAGACGAGGAGATATAGCTAGTTTCTCAATTCTATACGAGCTGCCATCTTCGAGCCTACCGTATTCTCAAGTTTGCCTGGTAACATATGAATGTTTGTGCACCATTCGATCCATCTGAACCTCTATATTCAGGAAAGCATATGTTTGGTTGAGCAATTCCTCTTTCTTAATAAAATATGGCTATTTTCATAAAGCTATATCAATAACTAGCGTAAAGTCGCTGATCCACATATATTCTATCATTATAGGTCAATATCAACACATTACTATTGCTCTATAGAGGTTACCATCTTTACCACCTTCAAGGTACCCGTACTCTCAGGTTTGCTCGGCAACATTTAAATTTCTTTGCATCATTCGAATGCTCAGAATCTCTGCTTTCAGAACATTATATATTTTGCTGAGCAATAATGATTGCTTGAGCAGATATAGCTGTTTTCTGTACATCGCTATTTTCTCAATGCTATACGGGTTTTCATTGTTGAGTCTACCGTAATCTCATCGTTCATATACTTCTGATCATCTTATTTAAATATATGCATTACTCCAGCGATATAGGCGTTACGATCTTCAAGGCACCGGTACTCTCAGGTTTGCCCAGTAACATAAGAATTTCTTTGCATCACACGATTGCTCAGAATCTCTATTTTCAGAATATCCTATATTTTGCCGAGCAATTATGATTAGATGAGGAGATATGGCTATTTTCTGTACATCGCTATTTTCTTAATGCTATACGGGTTGCTATCTTCCAGGCTACCGTACTCTCAGCTTTGCCCAGTAACATATGAATTTCTGTACATCGTTCGATCCATCGAAAAGTTTAGGTTCAGCAGAACATATATTTCGTTGAGCAATTATGCTTTCTTAAGGTGGTATGGCTATTTTCATAAAGTAAGCGCAATGGCGATAATTCATATACATTCCATCAGTTTAGATCAATATCAGTGCTTTACTATGGCTCTAGAGAGGTCATCATCTTCAAGGTTACCTCGATACACGGTTTGCCCAGCAACATGGCAATTCCTTCACATTATTAGATCCCCCAGATTCTCTACCTTCAGACATGCGTATATATTGTGGAGCGATTCCGTTTACTTTCATACAATTAATCGATTTCCTGAAGGCATATCACTTGCTTGGCAGCGGTCATTTTAACACACTAAATCTGTACTGAGCAATCCCTATATTACATTGTTATTGATAGGGTCACCATTTTCAAACTCGTTGTTTTGAGGTTTGCCCAATAACGTGATCGTTTCTTCAAACCATCGAATTCGTCAGGTTCTCTAGTTTCAGAAAATGTCTATATTGTTGGGCTATTCTGCTCACTCCAAGAAGCGCTGATGATTTTTTGGGGCGACCTCACATATCTGAGCCGCTCAATCCGATATATTGTATGCGAATTGATCAATGTGCACGAAAGATCGCTATTTTCTATTCAATGTTACTTTCAGGTTTCTACGGCAATATGTCTTTTTCTCTCAACCATCAGATTCTCCAGTTTCAGAAAAATGTTATGCGACGGTTTTGCTCACTGTTTGGATATTGTCGATCATTTTGATACATGTATGCAGGGATACTTCATGTTATTCATTCAACAGTTTTGTTCAAATTGTCCTTAAGTGGTTATTGTGCATTTGAAGGAATGTTACAATGCATTATGAAAGTAATGTTGTAAACAGTAATGATATGAATGTGTATTGTGAAAGATTTTAAACAAATAAATATGAATAATAAAAACTTATGTTGTGCCTAGTGATATCTTTGTTCCAGTTAAACAGTTCTATTCCTGTTCTGTTCCACGGTATAGAATAGAACAATCCGCAAATGAGGGAGGAACAGCTTGGAACAGAATAGAGCCTTTTTTGAGCCAAAAGAACATAATAGAACAGTTTTCAACAGCTTTTCCTTAAACTGTTCTTTTTGAATACTGCAGTGAGATAAATTACCATTGTTGTATTATTGTTTTATTTATTATTATTTACCATTATTATATTTTTTATCATATTTGTACATTTTATTGTTATTGTTAATATCATTATTATCATTACAATTATTATATTTATTATTATTATTATTATTATTATTATTATTATTATTATTATTATTATTATTATTATTAATATTACTTTTAATATGTTTATTATTGCAGTTGCTATTATTTCTATTGTTGATATAAGGCCACCATTACGTGTTTGTTATTATCATTATAAGTTTTACTTTCAATCCTGATGGTTTGGAACACGCCTGAAATTGCCTGAAAACTTGAATAAATGATGAATGGAAAATATGTTTCATTTGATAGATGTTTAACATTAACGCATGGACACATAAAACAAACTGTTGACATCCACAACAGTCAACTTTATAGACAAAAATTCGCGCAAGCTGAATAGCATTTCTAGAATCATTCGAATCGATCATCACAATTTTAATAGGTTTCATTACCACTATTAAGCAATGTGATGACATGATTTCAATGAATCAAAATAGAACACAGGAAACCGTGGAAAAATATAATCACATTACATACATCAAGATGCCCAAAACAATTATAAAGGCATCAGAGGAATGAGAACGCGCAAAAAACATCGAAAAAAAATGCGGGCCATATAATGAAAAATAGAACAAAATTATTAGCGAAGAACGTCAAAAGTAAAGGAAATTCCATTTCTCCTCAATTTTAGTAAGCAACGGAAACAATGTGTGCAAAACGAATTGCCACAAGAACACAAAAATAGTCCTCCTTACTGAAGAGAATTGTGCGAGTTCTCTGCAATGCAAAAGAGAACTATGCAAGTTCCCCTTTGCATTTAAGAGAGATGCAACTCCATTGCATTTGAAGCAATGTTATAATGGATTATGAAAGTATTATGAAAGTACGAAAGTATGAAAATTATGCAAAACGTTCAATGTATGAAATATAAATGTGTGTTATGAAAGATTTTCAACAGATAAGGATGAATGATAAAAACTTATTTTATTCCCATGTAACACAACACAAGTATCGAAAAAGGAGCAAAAATTTTTTCTGCTAAAAATCTCACAAAAGTCCTGACCTACCCCCTCTCTATCTCAAAATCCGCACTTTCGACACATCACATCTCAGCTTACGATAAACATTTCGAGACCCTCAAACCGGTTTTGAGATAGTCTCGGTGGTCTGAACAAGGATATCACAATAATTATTCCGATCAACAAGCGATAACATGCGTCTCGAGACTCCACAAACCGCAAAAATCGCCATTCCAGGATTTTCGGGCAATGGATTCATTTTTTAAAGCATCACAAATTTGGTATCAATCGAGCTATAATAAGGCACTTCACGCAATTAAATGCAAATCAGCTCAATAGCTGTAGCCATCCTTGTGTTCTGACCGCAAAATGTGTTACCACTCGAATTCTAAGCACCGTCCGATTTCTCAGAAGGAAACCAAAAAAAACAATTGCAACATCGAGTTAGACTGTTCTTTTGGAGAAATTCTCTGACCTCACGTCTCTCACGCAACCACAATTTTATACTTTTCGTTGTCCACTCGTCAAACCAAACCGATCGGTAATTTTATCGAAATGTGAGCAAAAAATCATTTCGCCAGAAACTTCACTAAAATTTTGACCATACATATCCCTCATGACCTCAAAATCCGCATTTTCGAGATATTATAGTGTTTCTACTGGCTGCTGGGTGGGGTGACCTGAGGTTTCAAAGGCTCCTACTAGAGAGGGGGGCAAAGAGACGTTCAGCCTGAGCAATCTACCATTACAGTTGCTACTGTCCTTGTGTGGTTACGTTCAGGAAGTTCCTTACTCAGTTTTTAGCTGATCGAAGCAAAGAGGAGCATGCACATGCATTTAGAAACACTGACTGAATACTGTTGAAGATTTCG